TCTGAGTCTTCCTAATGATTTCTAATTTTTATTGCTACTTTGTTTAATTTCTTTTATGCTTCAAAATTTTAAGTGTGATTAGATAGAATATGAAGACATTTTAATTTTTTAATTTTAATTGTTTTAATCTTTTTATTTTGGCTTTAATTGACAGCATCTTGAATTGTTGGCACTTTTGAGAACTTTGTGTATTACATATATCATTTAGAAAAACAGCTTTCTGTTATTTTTACATAAATAGACTAAATACATTAAATTTTATATAAGCATACTTCCCATCTCTTCATAGTCTATGGTGTCAAGGTACTGTGTTGATTGTACTGTAATGCCAGGTGTTAAAAGAATCATGCTTTTAAAAAAGTAAAATCTCAATTTTCCTACAGATATAAAATGTTCACATAGTAAATATTTTATTTAACTTGTTATTAATAAGGGAACCAGAGTTACGAGTTAAAAAAAATTAAAGATGCACACATTTATATGAAATCAATGTTGAAATAAGTTTAGAAATAGAAAAAAACTGACTTTTATCAAAATAAAAAAAGGAGAAGAGTCAATTGAACTTGTACCAGACAGAAAGTATTTGCATTTCTATAGACAGTGATTATTTTGCACTGTTATTAGTTATCTACAATTTATAGAGTTGTGAAACAGTCAAAGGTTGTGAGAAGCTGCCATCAGATAACAAAGAAATGAGTGCTCTAAATCACACATTGTTTTCTTTTTTTCTTTTACTTGAGATTCTGGGGTCCACGTCCATGTCGTGCACGGACATATTGGGTAGTGGTGGGCATTGGCTCTCAGGTGGCTCATTCTCCAGACAGTGAACATTGCGCCCCTTAGGTAGTTTCTGAACCTTAGCCCCTTTCGCCTCCATTCGCGTCCCCAGTGTCTATTATTTCTGTCTTTGTGACCGTTTGGCTCCCACAAATGAGTCAGAACCTGTGCTATTTGGTTTTCTGTTTCTGAGTGAGTTTACTTAGGGTGATGATCGCTAGCTCCATCCATGTTGCTGCAAAGGACATGATTTCATTCATTTTTATGGCTGTGAGATTTTAATTTTAAGAAGGAAAATATGGCCTTAGAGTTTACAACTGATAAATTAATGGGATTTTAGTTAAGTTAGTGAAGGAGTTATGAATTTCATGTTTTGAGAGTAAATTGAGATTAGAGTTTGTGAGTCCGATATCTGAGGGAGTAGGCAAGAAGATTCCAAGTGAATAGTCTGGGAACAATATTTAAGAATTAGAAACAAACAGGATTCCAGAGCAGAAAGGGGGTGGTGGTAGTGGAAGTAGTTCAGAGGGTAAAAATAGGAAGAGAATTTCATACAAAAATTTAATTTTCATCAAATCCAGTTCATTAATTTTTTTCCCATTTCTGGATTGTGTTTTTGGTGTTATATGTAAAAACTCTTTGCTTTATTCCAGGTCATGAAGATTTTCTCTCTTGTTTTCTTCCAAAGGTTTTATAGTTTATTTTATACATTTAGTTTATGATCCACTTTGAGTTTATTTTTATAAAAAGTGTGAAGTTTTAAGTCGAGGTTCACTTATTTTGCATATGGATGACCAATTGCTCTAACACCAATTATTGAGAAAACCATCCTTTCTCCACTTTTCCTTTTGCACATTTGTCAAAAATCAAATTGCCATATCTGTTTTGGTCTATTTCTGGACTCTATTCTCTTTGAGCTGCCCGTTTACATATACTATTCTATCCTGATTATTGTAATTGTATAGTAATTCTTAAGATCATTTTTCAGCATATTTAATGTGCTGTTTCAATGTCTTCTGGCTTGAATACTTCCTGATGATCTGTTGACCTTATTATTGTTCTCCTGTATGTAAGTGTCATTTTGCTGTAATTGTTCTCAAGATTTTCTCTTATGTTTGACTATCCGAGTTTGATTATAGCATGTATAGGAGAGATTTTCTTTGTGTTTTTCTACTTATATAACTTCTTAGATCTATAAATTAATGTTTTCCACCATATTTGGGATGCTTTTGGACATCATTTTATCACATTTTTTCTGCCCTTTTCAGTCCTTTTCATGGATTCCAACAACTTTAAGTTATCTTACAAATCTCCTTGGTTCTTTTATCTTTTTTGTTCTCCCTTGTTTTTCAGATTTGGTAATTTTTCTATTGATATGTCTTTAAGTTCACTGACACTTTATTCCACTCTCTCCAAGTTGCTGTCAAGACCATCTAGTACATTTTGTTTCACTTTATTGTATTTATTATCTCTATAATTGATTTTGTCTACTTTTCTGTTTACATTTATTTAATTTGTTGATAACATATATTCTTTTAATTCACTGAACATATTTTTCTTTAATTTCTTGAACATAATTTATGGTACCTGCCTTGATGTTTCCCTGCTAAATTCAACCTTTAAATCTACTTGATGATAATTTCTATTGGCTACTTTTTACTCTGGCTAGGGAGCTCACACTTTAATTGTTTAGGAATTTTTGGATGAAAACTTATAACTATAGGTACTATTTGATATCAGCTCTTGATTTTGTCATGTTCTTCTGAGAAATACTGGATTTTTGTTTTAGTAGGCAACTTGCTTACCAATTTCGTATTCTGTCTCTGCTCCATTTTGGTATCTGAATTCTTGTGGCTTCCCTTTACTGCCTTTTAAGTTAGATTGTTGGTAGGTCTCCCTACTGCCTGCCAAATTTGGTAGTCAGCCAAAGATCTGGGGAGGAATGGGGCTCATTCTTTCTGTGGTTTTCTTTTTTCTAGGGATTTTCTTAACTTTTCCAGTTGCTCTGCCAGGTTCAGGCTCTGTACTCTTACCACTTCAAGCCTGCCCACCTTCAGCTTTCTGCCGCTTAAACAATACACAGTTGTGGAAAGCATTCAGTTAAACAAACCTCAAACTCATAGCTCCAGCTCCTTGTAAGCTCAGCCTTTCTAGAATATTTTTTTCCCGGCTTTTACCTGCATTTCTTATGGAGCCCCTTAGGGTCTCTCCCACACTTTTGTAGTTTAGTTGTCAGCCAGAGATTTGGACTATTTGGTCTCTGAATTGTATCAGAATTTTCCCCCTTTAAATTTCCAGCTGGTTTCTCAGTCTTGAATTCTAATCTTTGGCACTGTTAGTTACCTCTGTTTTCTGTAGTCATAGCCATGGGACTTACTGAGCCAGCAAACCATACTCTTCTCATTGTATTTCTTTTAAAATCAAGCGTTTTTCCAGCTTTTGTGCCTTTTGAACACTTTCTAGTGACCTTACATTGTATTTCTTTTTTTTTTTTTTTGAGTCGGAGTCTCACTCTGTCGCCTAGACTGGAGTGCAGTGGCCGCTCCCGGCCACTGCAGCCTCAACCTGCCGGGCTCCAGTGATCCTTTCGCCTCAGCCTTCCAAGTAGCTGGAATTACAGGCACGTGCTACCACGACCGGCTAATTTTTGATTTATTGTAGAGATGAGGTCTCCCCAAGTTGCCCAGGCAGGTCTCGAACCCGCGGGCTCAGGCAATCCACTCACCTCAGCCTCCCAAGGCACGGGATTACAGGCTGAGCCATAATTCAATATTTTCATGTTGTTATTTGTGGAGTTCACATGATCACTCACTTGCATGATCACTCACTTCTCCATTACTAGAAGTTGCAGGGCTTCAAATAATCACAAACTCTCATTCTTATTCTTCTCGTTGCAGTTTTTTAAAAATGAAATTCTCTAGCTTGTATCTGCCTTTTGAATGCCTTCCAGTTAATTATAAAATATTAGGTAAAATTTAAAATGTATCTGTGGGTGTTCTCACGAGCACTTCTTTCTTAGTATTCGAAATTGCAAGATCTTCATTAGCTGTAAATAGTTAATTTTAAGAAAAAGCTTATTAATTACCTAGATATGGTGGTATGTGTCTATTAGTTCCCACTACTCGGGAGGCTGAGGTCAAGGCTGCGGTGAGCTGTAAGCATGCCACTGAACTCCAGCCTGGGTGGTGACAAGAATGAGACCCCGCCCCCCCAAGAAAAAAAAAGAAAACAAAAGGCTTATTAAATGCTCTGGTTTATCTATAGCATATGAAGGATAAGTGCAATATATATGAAAGACTCGATGCCCCATCAAGTTCTGCCAGCTGCTATTTATCTTGTGCTTGAATGATCTGTAGTTCTATTTGAGACCGGTTAATGTCAACATGAACTACATGCTATTATGTGCTTAACATTTCGTAGAATCTCTCTATTTTAATTCTTAGTTAGTTATTTGGTGTTGTCATCAATATCAACCAATTCTCAGAAACTTAATTTTAGCCCTTATATCTGACTTTTTAAGGAACTGAAATATAGGACCAAATAGAGCCAGTTGACCCATGCCCCAAGTGTCAGGGGGCTTTATTATTTATTATCTATTATGCAGTGGCAAATTTATACAGGGGAATGAAATGAAGCTGCATCAGAAATTCAGATTTGGACTATGTCTTTTATATCATTTTCTAAGAGCTATATTCCAATAATTATAATAGTATTTGTTATTTACTCATAGTTTCTCATTGGCAGCAAGTTGATTTCATGAGAAAGAATGTGTTGATTTTCTAATCTGAGCTTTCAGTTTATATGGCAGTTCTCTTTTTCATTTTGTTTTTTGTTGTTTGTTTTGTTTTTGATTCACAGTCTCACTCTGTTGCCCAGCTGGAGTACAGTGGCATAATCACAGTTCACTGCAGCATCAACCTCCTGGGCTCAGGCGATCCTTCTGCCTCAGTTTCCCAAGTACCTGGGACTACACGCCTGTGCCACCATGCCTGGCTTATTTTTTTAATTTTTGTAGAGATGAGGTCTTGCTATGTTGCCTAGCCTGATCTTGAACTCCAAGGCTCAAGCAATTCTTCTGCCTTGGTCTCTATACAGGTATGAGTCACTGTGTCTGGCTGGCAGTACTCTTTTTCTGTAGAGTTGAGTGAGGTGTTGTGATTGAATGATCATATACATTTTAATTGTGTATTTTAAAAAGTGATTATTTATGGATTTAGAACAACTACAATAAGGAAATTAACTGGATATTTTATTTTACAGGTGCAGTTACTAGCAAGAAAAATTATCTTTTCATATTTAAACCTGCTAGTGAATTCAAAGAATGACCTGGCTCTGGCTCATATTCTCAATATTCCTGATAGAGGACTTGGAAGAGAAGCCTTCACTGATTTGAAACATGCAGCTCGAGAGAAACAGATGTCTATCTTTTTGGTATGGATGTATTACATTTTCAAGATTAAGACTTCAGGAGCAATGGATCCATGTACCTTGTTCTTGTCACTATGAGGAAACACCTTTTAAGTGGTTAATTTATGTTCTACCTCTGTGTTTGAAAATCCATGATATTTTTATTTTTTTTACCATATACTTCCAGTTTGGCAAGGGAGAATTTCTTTAAAGCATTGTTTCTTTACATGTGTTCTATACAGTGCTAGCTCTGATAAATTCCTTGTGAATAAATATTTCCAAAGGCAAAATAAATCACTGTCAAAGCTCCTTGAATGTTTCCAAGAGCTAATAGCTTAGAAATAGTGTATACTCCTATTGTTTATATATAATGCATGTTTGTATATCAAGAGCTCCAGGAAGTTCTGCCATAAAGCAAACTGCTTATAACTTAAAACAAACTAACTTTGTTGTTTCATCTGTTGTTCTCTAATTTATTTGACCAAAGAACTTTCCTCCAAATTACTTATGTTTCATAGATTTTTGTCTTTCTTGGGATATACTTTGGGAAGTACTGCTTTAGAACATTTTATCTTTTTTGGGGGGAGGGGCGGTTGAGGTCTCACTTTGACACCCAGACTGGAGTACAGTGGCATGATCACTGCCCATTGAAGACTTGACCTCTTGGGCTCAGGTGATCCTTCTGCCTCAGCCTTCCAAGTAGCTGGGACTTTAGACATGTACTACCACTCTTTTATTTTTTTGTAGAGACAAGGTCTTGCTATGTTGTCTAGGCTGGTCTCAACCCCTGGGCTCCAACTTTACGCCTACCTCAGCCTTCCAAAGTGCTGGGATGACAGGTGTAAACCACTGCTCTCGGCCTAGAATATTTTATCTTTGATGGAGAACTCTTGAATATAGCCATCACATATATATTTTTATCATTATAAAGACAAGGCCTTTTGATCTATATATGATCAAATAGTCCTAGGATGTGAAAGTTAGTTGGAATTTAGTGATTATCTAGTCTAACTCTTTATTTTACAAATAAAGAAACTGAAGTTTGGAAGTGCTGAATTGCCCAACGAATTAACTTATTTAGCACAACAGATCAGTTGACACCAAAAATTGCTTTGTTTTATATAACAATCTCAATAGCCAGTAGTCAATTTATATAAGGTCATATTCATAAATGAGTTTTTTTATAGTCAATAGTATATTCATATGAACATGTTCTTTAGCCCTTTATTTGTCCTGTGACTCAGCTCAGTGTCACTTCTAGCATGAATTCTGTATTCTGTATGACACTTGTTTCTTTGGTTATTTGCTATTGAATTAAAGTGTGTCACAAATTATAACATGTGCTTCACTTTAACTGTATACCTAGAATTACATAATGTACCTAACTTTATAAAGTAAGTTGTAGTTTTAGCTTACTAATTAAGCATAACAAAATTTTTTGTTTTAATTTATAGGTTGCCACATCATTTATTAGAGCGATAGAGCTTGGAGGGAAAGGATATGCACCATCACCATCAGACCCTTTAAGGACACATGTAAAAGGATTGTCTAATTTTATTAATTTCATTGACAAATTAGATGAGATTCTTGGAGAAATACCAAACCCAAGGTAATGACTTTTCATAAATTACAAATGCATGTTGTTGTTAATCTAGATCTTTAAACTTCACAGAATCAAAGGTTGAAATAAAAGAGATAGTGAAATGACCAAACATCATACCAAACAGTATGAAGAAGAGGAAGAAGAATATCTAAGCTGGGCTCGGTGGCTCAGCCTGTAATCCCACACTTTCAGAGGCTGACATGAGGGGATTGCCTGAGCCCGCAGGTTCGAGAACCACCTGGGCCACTTGGTGAGCCCTCATCTCTACAGTAAATCAAAAAATTAGCCGGGTATGGTAGTGCGCGCCTGTAGTTCCAGGTACTTGGAAGGCTGAGGCGGAAGGATTGCCGGAGCCTAGCAGGTCGAGGCTGCGGTGACTGGGAGTGACCACTGCACTCCAGTCTGGGTGACAGAGTGGGACTCCAACTCAAAAAAAAAAAAAAAGAATAAGAATATCTAAATGAATAAATTATAATCACATGACTATACCTTTTAAATTTCTGCCTGTGATTCTAAGTTTTTGCCAAAGTCAAAAGGCATATCCAGACCAGGTATGGTGGGTCACACTTGTAACCCCAGCACTTTGGGAGGCTGCTGCAGGAAGATTGCTTGATGCCAGGAGTTTGAGACCAGCCTGGGCAACATAACAAGACCTTCTCTCTACAAAGAATAAAACAAATTTACTGAGTGTGGTGGCATATACCTGTAGTCCCAGCTGCTTGGGAGGCTAAGCTGGAAGGATTGCCTGAGCCCGGGAGGTTGAGACTGTGATGAGCTGTGATCGTGCCACTGTATTCCAGCCTGGGTGACAGTAAGATTCTGATTCATAAAAAAATAAAATATTAAAAATAATAAAATGATTTGATTAGAGAAGAGGTTTCCCATTTATTCGGAAGAAGTAGAGTTTTAAGGACTGGAAATGACCAAATGGGTAATTTCTTTAAAGTTTTTATTTAGCAATAAAGAAAACTGATATCTAGAATGAATAAAAAAGTTGGCAGATGTGATGAGTTTTCTATCTTATTTTCTGTTAGTTAATTTTTTTTATGTGTCAATCTTTGTTTCCTCTGGGATTTGTTTTTGTATGATATTGGAGGTAAGAGTTTTTTTTTATCTGATAGACACATTATAATATAGGTGTATTGAATGCTGAGTAGGTTTTCAATTAATTGTGAGACGCAATAGTGAATTGTATATGTCAGCAATCATGGTGGACCACTGTCAATTTGGTTGGCATGCTATAACATAAACATAATAAAAATAGCTAAAATTTATTGAACACTTATTCTGTGTCACACATTGTATAAATTCTTTACTTGGATTACCAGTTGATCATTACAGCCACCTTATATGATAAATAGTATTACTATTCCCAAATTAGAATTGAAGAAACTGAAGCGCCAGGATTAAGTAATTTACCCTATGTTACATTGTTGTTATGTGGCAGAGCTGGAATCTGAACTGTCAGTTTTGGCTTGACACCTGTTCTCTTAATCCATGTATCTGGTTCCATGGAACATCTTTCCATTTTAATATTCCAAGATAATATTTTTTAGGGTTTTATTCTGAATTTCATCCTGTCTTCTTATATGGATATTTATTACAAGGAAGTAAATTTGAAAGCGGTTTTGAAAATGTCATATAGACAATATTAGTGACATCTTCTGAATTTTCAGATAATATATGGGAGGGGGGCATTTCTTCTGAGATAGCAAACATTTAATTTTTAAAAATACTTTTTATATATACATGTTTTGTTAAAGTCAAATGGTACTACAGGTTTATAATTTAAAAAGTGCTTCTAAGAGGAACTGACTTTAAATATTTTTGTTTGTTTTCATATTTATTGCCATTTAAATGAAAATGTTTTGAGCCTGTTTTTTACTTCAATTTAGACAATACCTGTTAACTTCCTACGATGGAAGATAAGGATTTGCAGTTCCCTCACCAGCCTCCTAACAAGCCTCTTCCCTCAACCTTTCCCTTCTTTCATCCTTCCAATATGGTTATACCACAATTTTGGTTATATTATATTTTAGAATTTGCATTACTATGACTGTAAATATTGCTTACAGCTAAGCTATGTGATATACTATGAATTATACTTTCTTGTACAAATTTTTATTTTTTTTAGAGTTGGTAATTATCTACTTTTTTCTTTTGCTTTGCTTCCTTTGTTTGTCATCAATTCTTTATCAAACTTGACAATCAAACTATAAAATTTCTTCTTAATATTGGGTCATCTGTCAGTTTTTTCCTCTTGAAGACATTCCTTCTGGAGAGTCCCTATCTTTTTATTCAATCTTTACTTTTGCTCTCTAGGCCTTGCCAAAGTGACACCATGAGGCTTCACTCTGACCTGGTGAATTTTCTTTGTGTCTGCTTTGTTTCCTGCGTCTCATGACTAATTTGAATTGGTAAACCCCTTATTTTATTCAAATAGCTTTCTAAGGAAAAGTAAATGGTAGGCAAATATCTTTGCTTTAATCTTACATTTGTTTGCATATGATCTTATGTCATGTTCCAGTTATCTCAAGATTATTCATTATATTTAATTTGAAAAATATTTTTATCTACTTCATGAATGGTCTTTGTTTTGTCTAGATTGGATGTTTTTCTGTTTGTTAGTTTCTTTGTTTTGCCCTCTTTCATGTTAGAGATGTTTCTACAATGTATGGCAATTCTGAACTATCCTTTCATATTTATGAATGAGGCTCTAAAAAGCTGATTAGTAGCTCTGTATAGTGGGCTTAATTATAACAGGGTGTCCAGTTGGCTCTTTTCTTGGGGACTCGATCTCCAAATGTCATTAACTGTAAACTTTTTCTTTGGTGCTTTCCCAAAAGTTTCCACAGAGGCATCTGTTAATTTCTGGAAGCTATAAATCTGGCTAGCAATATTCTGGGATTTGAGGTAGGTCCAGTCTGTCATCTTGTGATAACAATGCCTTCTTCTGGAAGAAACCCTGGAGGACCTGCCTGAGTTTGTTTTACATTTTTTAAAAACAATAAGTAGAAGGAGTATACTCTAATGTTAAAAGGTATGTTATATTAAATATATAAACCAGTAAAATATTCACTTATTATCATGACCAAGTGTTACATAGTGTACTTAACTATATGTGCTATACTCTTAAATGACTGACAGCACAGTAGGTTTGTTTACACTAGCATCACTACAGACATGTGTGATATGTTGCACTATGATGCTGTGATAACTATGAAGTTACTAGGTGGTAGGAATTTTTCAGATCCGTTATATTATGAGACCTCCATCATATATGTGGTCTCGTGTTGGCCAAAATATTCTACAGTGCATGACTGTATATGATGGACTAAATGTACTTTTATAGAATATTAAATCTGACTGAACTTATTCAGTCTAATCTCCTAATGTTAAAAATTTTCTTGTTCAGAAATATTCCAGAAGGACTTTTGATATATTTTATTGGCACCTATGATTACATTTCATGCTTAAAGGTAAAATTTATTTTAGTAAATAATTATCAAATTCTTTTTGTTTTTGAGTGCAGAGGCAGCCCCTGGCCACCGCAGCCTCGACCTTCTGGGCTCCGGCGATCCTTCCGCCTCAGCCTTCCAAGTAGCCGGAATTACAGGCTTGCGCTAACATGCCCGGCTGATTTTTTTTTTTTAATTTATTGTAGAGATGAGGTCTCGCTGCCCAGGTGGGTCTCGAACCCGCGGGCTCAGGCAATCCACTCACCTCAGCCTCCCAAAGGCACGGGATTACAGGCTGAGCCACCGAGCCTGGCTATTATCAAATTCTTGACTATGGCATGAAAATGCCACTCATTTTATTTAGGAAAGTGAAGACAATAATTACATTAAAGTATTGCCAATCATTTATTTGTCTGTGTTATTGTCATTCTCTTCTAGTTACTTTGTTTTGGTAAAATTTGGGGATTTAATTGTTCTTTTCATTGGTATGCTCATCTTTTTTTCTTTTTCTATACCAGGCCACTGGTGTAAAGCAGTTAGGGGTAAGGAACTGCAGTTTACCTCTTTCTCATCTAAATTCTTCTGTTAATGTTTTTACAGAATAGTCATATTGTATCTTCTGGGAAATATTTTGAATACCTCCTTCTTATCTCTATTTCTCCATACTATACCTTCAACATCTCATTGTGTTGTAATCATTTGTGACCTCTTAAAGAGAAAGGTTCTATTTATTTTTGTATTCCTGTCTTTTGCACAAATATTGTGGTGTCATTTGAGTTAAAACTTCTGGAGTTTCTAGACTCAAGAAATAAGAGCTTGAATTAAGCTACTGTGTTGCCAAGCAGATACTAGGAGACCTAATGGTTGACTCTAGTAGTGAAAAATAGCAATAAACCAGTGAGAGCACTGGTGTCTGGGGTATTTTGTCAAGGGCTTGAAATGTTGACCATGGCAGGTCTCTGAAATACAAGCATAAGTTTTTAAAATGCAGTTCAATCAGCGCATTATGTCATCTTTAAAATTTAGCATTTTTGTCTGATGAAGGAAGGTGAAAAGACGCTCAAAGGTGACTTTCCTTTATCATTTGAAACATTATTTTGTTCTTGTAATTGGCACTGAGACAGTCTTTCATATTTTATTAACTATTAGAATCATTTCCAAAATTGCTTTCTATTACAGATTAATTCCCAGAAAAAGCACATAGTGTTAACTATTTTTTATTTTTGCTATATTTTGTCCAATGCATTTCTGTGCTTTCAAATGAAAATTAAGGAAAAACAGGTAAAAAAAGAAAACCCTTGTATATGTAAAATAATTCCTAGAGTCTGCTCAGATTGCTAAGTGTAGAAGTATGGCAGACTAGCTTCTCTGATTGATCCTTTAATTGAAAATAATTAATGCTGTATAACACATTTGAAAAATGCTTCTTAAATGCATTGATGAGTAGGCAAATGTAATGAAAATATAAGTCAAAGAGTAGAGGAAGGAGGAAAGCCAGAGAGGCAAGTCAAGAAGAGAAGCCAGCTTTTATTTTGAGAGCATTTGCTG